CATTTTGCATCAATAATTTACAGAAATTATTTCGAGACAAAAAAAGTTAAAAGTTTTTACCGTAACAAAGTAAATAATTATTACTATTTTCATATAAATAGTGTACTATTCATATCACTATGCCGAGCTCAAACTCGGCATCTCAGCGTGGTGTGACCTCGGACACGCGCTAGCCACGTCAGCCCGACATCCAAATAGGTCATAAAATGACCTCAGGCCCAAGGCCCAGCGAATCCTAAATTCACACAAAGGTACGTGCATTACTTATACGAGACTCATACATCCACAAACAATAACTTGAGCATCGGAGTCTCTTTTGCAGGTACCACCCCCATCTTGGAGCAACACGCGTACCCGGCAAAAGAAGCTCACCAATCTTGTCCAGCAAATCGTCCCTACGACCGATCTCTGGTAAGAACATTTGGCGCCCACCGTGGGGCCGATCAAGACGACTCTTATCGGCCACGCTTATGGTTTTCACCTAAAGCCATAGTAGACGTGCAACAGACGACGCAGATCACACGACAAGTATGGACAACGAAGCAACATTGAGGAGACTGATCGAACAGGTCGAGCAGATGCGGCAGCAACACACCGTCGATCTGTAAAATATCCGTGCCAAGCACGAAACTGACCTAGCAGCGCTGCGTACCACGAATGAGGCTGTCAATTGCAGATTGCCCAACCCGTTAAACCTGGCCGGGGCCTGCCGCCAGTTAAAAGGGAACTTCGGCAACCCGCCGAAGTGGAATACCTCATCTTTCAACGGGTCGACGTCCTTGAGCCCAACCCGGAAGAACTCTTGTTTGAAATTTTTATAAGACTGGGAGTAAAGAGAAAACAACCTCCCAGCCTTGCTACCACTCAAAGACGCCCAACCGTAGGGAGGGATGCCCAGTTTCAACCGATAAAAATGAAGGAAAACAGGCAGAGACAACCCTATTCCTAGGGTCGAACATAGGACTTGAAAAGCCCTAAAAAAACCCCAGCTATTGGGGTGCAACTGGCAAGGATCCGAGTTGACAAAATTTAAAAAATCGCACTCAAACTGCGTAAAGGGAAGGCATACGCCTAAATCCCTAAAAAAACACTGATACATGTAAAAGAAGGGAGGGTCGGAAGTACTCCCCATATAAACACGCTCACCGGGCTGACAGGGTTTAAGCCGGATAACCTTAGAAATGGAGGATTCACCGATCCTAAGCAGTTTCCACATCGCATTAATCTCCATGAACGATTTGAAGACGCTCTGAAACTCCCCCACGTCACCCCTGACCTAGTCGTAGCCAGGGATGACGGGGAAGGGTTCCTTAGGCTGGCTTCCCCCCTTTTTCCTTTCAACGGCGACCGTCTCGGCCGTCGCCGCCTTGCCACGCGGGTTGCCTTTACCCTTGGCCGGCGCGGAAGGAGCAGCGTCACTGTTACCAGCCATCAAGAAAACAAAAAGATTTGAGGAGAAGGAGAAGACAAAGAAATCGAAGTACCTAGTACTCCTTTGACAAACAAAGAACAATAACGAAGGATGGGAACCCGGTTGCCGGAAATGGAGACGGAGGAAAACGGAGACAAGAAGGGCGAAGACGGAGAATGGACAGAGGAAAGCAAAGAAAATCGGTGTGCACAAGAAGCCAGAGACGAAAGAGAGTGAAAAGAGTAAAGTGAAAGGGGAAGGGGCGCGAGAGAGAGAAAAGGGCTCCCCGAAATTCAAACGGTTATGACACGTGTCAGCAAGGGGACAAGACTGGCAGCATATTAAGGCCCCGTCATGATGAAGCACTACCATCATTGCGTAACCGTCATCCCCATTAACGCACCAACCACGCGTTTCGGAATCCGAAGCGACAGTTGTGACACATGGCAACACAGGAGAGAAGCGTACGCGAAGGGTCACGACCCCCTACCGAGCTCGGCATTAACTCCTTGATCCACGGTCTTTGAAGCTCGGGGGGCTAGTGTACTATCCGTACTGCTATGCCGAGCTTCTCAGCGCAGCATGACCTCGGACACGCGCTAGGCCACGTCAGCCCGACATCCAAATAGGTCATAAACTGATCTTAGGCCCAAGGCCTAGCGAAACCCTAAATTCACACAAAGGTACATGCATTACTTATACGATACTCATACACCCACAAACACTAACTTAAGCATCAGAGTCTCTTTTGCAGGTATCACCCCATCTTAGAGCAACACGCGTACCCGGCAAAGGAGGTTCATCAATCTTGCCCAGCAGATCGTCCCTACGACCGATCTCCGGTAAGAACAAATAGTAATGATTATTACAACAACAAAAAAACAAATATATAAATAATTATTAAAAAAATATTAACTGATTAATTTTATTTTACAAATTTCCCATAAATTTATGTTAAATATAAATAATTACTTTAACCTTTACATATTTTATTGCAATCAACAAATTAATTTTTTAACTTATTTTTCTTAATTAAATCATTTGAGTCAATTGATTATTTGATATATTGAATTTTTTTTTATAGTTATGCTAATTTCTACCTATTTTATACTGACCACTTAGTTAATTATTTAATTTTAATCAATCAATTATATTATTTGACTTAATAATTTGTTTGATTGAACATTTTGCATCAATAATGATTATTACAAATATATATATATATATATATAAGTAATTATTGACAAAAAAAAATATTAACTGATTAATTTTATTTTACAAATTTCCCATAATTTTATGTTAAATATAAATAATTATTAGGTTTAAATGTGTCCAAAATTTGTATGATTTTATTTCAAACATCAACCGAGTAATTTGAGTTCATCAAGTATCACAAGTATGTATTTTTGATCCCTTAATTTTTAACTGAGTAATTTTAGTCTCTTAAATATCATAATTGTGGGATTTTAATTTCTCCCGATAAAAATCAACTGACTTTTGTAAATGTGACATTACAAGTTGACATAATGTATCAATAATTAATTTTCTTCTAATATATTTATATTTTTATAAAAATATATTAATTTATACTCATTTATATTATGAAATTATTAATTAATTTATAAATATATAAATAATATTATTGATATTAATTAATCAACAATATTATAATACTAATAATATATAAATTTTATTTATCAATATTAAACATGTATCATTTGATTAATTAAAATCATAATATATATAACTTAAAGAAGTCAACAATATATAAAATTTTAAAATTATTAGATTTTAATTGAATATACAATCCTACGACTAAAATACTTAAAAAAATTAAAATTATTCAATTAAAATTTTGAAAATTCAAATCATACAACTATATATTAATTGATGGTTAAAATTGTTCAAGTAAAATTTTATTGACTAAAATTACACAATTATATTACTTGAGAGAGAGAAAAATGTAATTAAGCCTATTTAATTGTTACTAATTTTACTTAAATAGTAAATAATTTAAAAAAAAATTAGTGTTAATATTTTTAATATTTGTATTTGCCATAACTGATGTTATGATTTAGTTGACAGATAATTAATTAAATAAGATTATAAATCGCAAACTTAACTTAAGCCATGTCAAAGTTATTATGTATGTTAACTTGTATTAAGAAAAAGAATTTAGCATAAATCACAAATCATATATATACCCGTTTAATATAGTTGATAAATTTAATCCTTATCTAATCTGCATTCTATATATGAGACAAAATCAAAGTGGAAGGTTCGGTTGAGACTAGGGCACAATCCTGTTTCCAGTTGATTTGCCTTAGCGGGGAGGTTGCTGTCTCAAAAGACACCGCTTTCTCGTCGTCTAGTTTCACCCGCAACATCATGTTTGCATGCAACAACCGCGTTGGATATTTAATTTTAAATTAATACTTATAAAACTGTAAAATAGTCTCCATAATATAATTTTTATTTAATTACACTTTTTTCCTTTCACAGTTTTACATTATTGTTCGCGCGATATGTTAATCATTGATGTACATTTATAATGACGAGATATGTTAATCATTGATGTACATTTATAATGACGAACGTGATAAAGTGACGTGTTTTATGTAACAGTCAAAATATAGCATATTAACACCAGACGATAGTCTGTTAACAAGATGACAAAATATTTAAGCAAATTCAATAATTAGGTGACAACTCACAAAAGAACGAAATACGAATAAAAGTATAATTAAACCAAATTTCAAAGCATTTCGATTCCTTATGTACCAATATTACTACGTATGATCTTACATAACACGCGTTATTAATACTTGCAAAATATAACTAAAAAGTAACAAGCAGGGCAAAAAAACTGCCATTAGACAGTCTAACTAAAAAGTACATATAACTAGAACCAGAAAACGTAGCCTAATTATGAGAAACCAATGCATACTACCTTAATATTTTTTTAAATTTTTACAGAGTTGCCATCTATTACTTGTTTTACTTGTTTTCTAATTTAAGTTATGCGACTGGCTAAATTATATTAAATACGCTCAGCAAGTACTTATAATGTTGGCTAACATACACTTACTTCTAAAACTGTACATAAGTATATTATAAGTTCATTTTTTCTTAAATTACACATACAATATAAATTATTAATGTACTCCAACAAAAAAATAGTAAATATAATTTGATAAATCCGTTGTTAAAAACAAATGTTTCTTAAATTCTATAATTAAAAGATGTCCACAATTTATGATCCAGCTATTTTATTCATTGCTTATGTTAATTTTTAATTTAAATACGACACACTCCTCTTAACACTACCACCTCCACCGACTTGGTTTCCGGTAATCAAATCACCTGCCATGAATTTCCTGGCTCCCAAGCCCCCAACTATACTTATTTTCATCGACTACTTTCAAAGAGAGGCCCAAATCAGTCGACACCCAGCCTGATTAAAAATCAAAATGGCGATTATAACCGACTTCAAGAGTCCAAAGCTCGCGTTTCAATTTTCAAATGTCTCACCGACCCTCTTAAACATGTCACACAGTACCATTTGAAAGCCATGAAAATGACGCGGGTAGAAATAAATTCCACTCCGTATGGAGACTTAGATCGGGATGCAATACCAGTCATGCCCATAAATCTCAAATTTTTGCCATAACGTTAGCATTTTTTTTCTACTGTACATTGAATTCAGATTCATTCAAAATTTTCTAAATAGGATTTTTTACAGCATAACATTGGATTGAGAAGCGATGCAGCCATCACACAGATGTGCGCTCATTAGCACACATCCTTAGGATGTCAATGATGCAGCAGCTTTTAGAAAGTTGATTATCTCCTAAAGTGATCTCTCATAAAGAAGGAATGTCTAAGAGCTTCCTTGGCTGTAAGTCTTTCAGATGGGTCATATCTAAGTAACCCCTGCAAGAGATGTATGAGATCGCCAGCTGAATGATCAACATGTTGCATTATAAGGTTCTGCATATATTTGAAAAAAAATCAGTATTGGCTAAAGTCAATATAAACAATTCAAACTGTTTTATACAGTAAAATCAGAAAGCAATTGTATAAAACAGAAAGCAAATAATTAAAACAAACCTGTAGCCTAGGAAGCTTCATCACAGCTTTAATACTGTCCCTTGTTGTTGCACCCTCAGGCCAGTCTAATCTACCCCTTCTAACATACTTCTCAGCATGTCGGCTGAACATGTGAATAACAAAATAAACTCATTTATCATATTTAAAATATCAAAAATTTAAAGTTTAAAGTTACCATGGCAATTCACTTACTCAACTCTCTTCAACATGTGCTGCGGTAATGGACCAAGTACCCTTTCCATCATTGCAAGATGCTCTAAATTTTCATGAGTCTGAAACAAAGCTTCTCCCTATAATAGAGAAACTCACAAATTATAGGATTGAAACAAAAGGGCGGATGCATTATGGATAAATGTGCTGTGTAAAAGCATCAAAGAGCCAAACATACCGAGCATAACTCAACCAGTATACATCCCACGCTCCATATATCACACGGAAAGCTCCAGCCAAGTCCTAAAACACCATAGTCAAAATCAACAATTTAGCACAAAAATAGACAATATCATGTGATTGTCAGATGGCAACATGCAAACATAGTTGAGACAGGCAATCTTTCTACAGCATTTACAGTATGTAAATATACCAAGGATAACTTCAGGAGCCCTATAATGACGAGTTGATACAATGTAATTCTGATCTTCTCGCTCATAAGTGGTGCTTCCAAAATCAATAACCTTTATAGCACTTGATTTGGGAACCCTCTTGAAATAGGAACTTGGTGATCTAGATGAACTCTGTTTAAAAAAAAGAAACAATGTATTTCAGTGATTTAATCAACGCTAAGCTAGAAAAGGTCTGAGTCTTATTTTTACTAGAATTAGAAAATGAAAATATCACTACAAATCACCAATTATCACAAATACTTCCTAATAACACCCATTTTACAAACGGGAATTGCTCTTTTAAATTAGGATTATGTAATACACTTTGAGAGTCAACTACACTTATCTTTCTAGACTTAAATTAGAGAATCATTCAAATATAAATTAAAATATCCACAGTACACCAGCATCAAAGGTGTACCTACTACCAATAGTGCAACAAATTCTAAGAACAATTATATAAAAATAAAAATAATAATAAATAAGAGGTGTGCAAAAAAAAAAGTACCTTGTAGTCTGGAACTTTCACATACTCTGGCGAAACTAGTAGTATGTTTTCAGGCTTCAGGTCAGTATGAATCATGCGCAAATCATGCATGACTGCAAATACATAAAATAATACAATTAGGAGGCTTAACCACAGTGACAAAAACAACACAGTCTGAGGCATATTGCATCTACAACATGAACAAGATAATGTACTACCATTATCAATTAAAGATATAGCATAATAACTTTCAACAAGTTAAATATACAGAAGAGATAGTTCAAAAGGAAGCTAGTTCAAGTAAATACTACACACATGCTATACATTCCAATAGTTGTCTGCCAATCTCGCGGACAAGATCAATGGGAAATGAGCGATAATTGTTTTTCCGAAGAAAATCGTATAAGCTTGGTCCAAGTTTCTCAAACACCTGTTAAAACCATTTAAATTCACCATTGTCTTAACCCCCAAATTATTCATAAATTGGGGAAAGCATTCCACCACAAATTAAATACTTACAATACAGATATGATTACGATAGTCAAACCAGTTCCGTATTTGCACACAACTGCAAGGAATAAGCCCATTTAACCAAGGCAATGGAATCAAGGATTTACATGGTAAGATTGTACTAGCATAGATGACAAACTAAGCTAATTCAACTTACCGATTGCCTCCTTTATCATGTTTACCAAGCTGTTGCAACACCTCAATTTCTATCATGGCTGCTTCTCGATACTTCTTTATACCACGGACAATTTTTATGGCAACCATTTCCTTCCGTTCTCTGTCCCAGCATTCTAAGACCTGCCCAAAAGTTCCTTCACCCATTTTGCTATGGATCTTATCTGCCAAAATCATGTTATATAAAACATATCAACAACAAAAGCCTAGCCAATGCATAAATTCAAACAACACCTTGAACATTTAAATCCCAAAATGTTTTTTCACCTTGTGACATTAAAAGTTATCAAGATAATAAGATTCTTGTGATTTAAACAGAATTAATAGTATTTAAAAAAACATGAAATTAAGCTCACATTTAAAAGATAAAGGTGTGAGGATGCATAAGCATTTGAATGCAGAGTTTTCCAAGCAAATGGTTTCAGCTATAAAAATATAAACTAGGACTTGACCATGACATATATGAATGGAAACTTCTTAATGATGGAAAAAGTGTAATTACAGCGAGAAGTTAAATTTTCTCCAAGCGCAAACATGTAATGCCCATCTTTGTCATCATCTCGCCAAGGGGGAGAACCATTTCGAGCAACTGCCTTAACAAATAGAGAACTATTGGTATGTTCTGAGGGACCCCTTGAAGGAGCATAGCTTGAAATACTCCCAACATCTTGTCCACAAAACAATCCTACCTGAGCCTACACACAGCCATCCATTCATGTACCACTCAATGGTTAAAAAAAAAAAAATTCATCCCACTGTCATTAACTCTACCTATGCCTTTACCACCATCTCAGAATATATCAAAAAACATTGACAAGGATGAAATAAACATGGGTGCTAAAATACACACAAAATTAATCATCAGGAGCATAACAAAAGTATTCAAACAAATCTGATTCGCACTGGAATGATAGAATAGACAGGCAATTCATTTTCCAAATTGCATTTAGAAGGTTTAAAAAATTACATAACAGATCCCCTCTTTACAAATGATACCATCAAATTCACAATACGAAAATCCGAAGATATAATTCATAAAATGATATGACAAAACCTAGAAAAATATGTAAATGCAAAAAAAAAAGTCGTACAGCACGGACAAAAACTGTAAAAAGGAAGGAAAAAAATTCCATGCTCGCAAGCGATATTAAAAATTTAAACCATACATAAGTCGCAATATTCCACTACAAGGACCACAAAAACCCGCGATCTAACATTGAATAACAAAAAAATAGATAAAGTACATGACCAATTAGAGTAAAAGAACCAAGACCTAACAGATCCATCAAACAAAGAGGAAAAAATCGTCTGCGAGACAAAATAAAACGTCATCTGAACCAAAAATACCTAATCTACACATATTCCACCAGATCTACAGCCAGGGAAGATAAAAACACAAAAAAAAAAAAAAAATTAAATACATCAGATCTGAGATTTAACGATAAAAAAGTTTACCTTGGGGACCTCGGCGATGTCCCAGCCCAATCTCGCTCTCTTTCTCGGGCGCCGATCCATGTGAGTGTGAGGAAATTCGAAGACGCGTTCCATCTCCATGATTGAGAGAACTACGAAAACTTCAAAGGGAGAGATTTCAAGGAAAGATTCAGATGAAAGAAAAATATGCGTTTGTGAAGATAGTGCCTCGGCATCCGAACCCTAATTTCGATGTTAGCCTAATAATAACGTCCGTGGAGGCGGTTGGGGTGAAATCTCACCGTCCACGTGTCGATATAGTGGAGCATCTTGGCTTAGGGCTGGATTGTGCTGTCAAGTGTGAACTGTGGTTAAACCTGGGTCAGCTTTATAACCATGGTTTGGTCAGTTTTGGTGGAGATAGAATGGAATAAAATAATAATTGTCAATGGAATATGATATATTTTTTAAAAAAGAATAAAAGAGGTAAGTACTATTTAAAGGGTTATGCTAACTTACACCTATTTTTATTTTTTTATAGAATGAATTAGATTTTGATTCGTGCAATGCACGATAAAAACTCATGTTGAAAATTAAATTTTTATTGTAATAAAATATATATATATATAATATAAAAATGTAAAAAAAATATATAAAACTTAAATATATGTTTATTTTTTGATTAATTAAATATTTTCATTATTAATTACTATAGAATAAAATTGTTTATTTGATAAAAACTTTATATTTAACTAATCTTATGAGTTATATGTCCCAGATATCTATTAAAATTTAGTTAAATTTATTAGAAAATAATTTCTTTAGTTGTGAGTAATTTATAAATTTATTTGATAATTGTCAAATTTACAAATACAGATACAAATTTTGAAAGTTTAAAATTTAAAAAAAATTGTTAGATGTTTTATAATTTATATAAAACTTCCCATTATGAAAAATTAGTGACCCAACATATGAATTCGTTGCCTAGCAATCATTTTATGAAAATATTTAATACATAAAAGTCAAATAAAAAAGAAATTTGTAATCTTATTTAATTGACACTTGTTACACAAACTCCTTCTTACTAAACATTTAAATGTTTCATTGTATCAACTCATCCGAATAAAAATCCAATTATTTATATGCATGGAAGATTGAGTTGACAAAAAAAATATCTATAATATATTAAAAACGAATGTAAACTAATCATTTAATGTTATATACATATATATGTGTGGGGGTGGAGAGATGAAATGATATCGATATAACTTTTACCGATTATTACATCGGTCAATAGTTATATACTAAAAGTGAATTTTTCTAATTTAATTATTGAATTATAATTTCATATTACCTTAAATGTACATGTCAAATTTTGTTAAAATTAAACAACAATTAGAAGGTAATTAAGTTATTCATATTTGATTATATTTTGAAATATATATATATATACATATATATTACATCAAATTTTAATCTATATAAATAAATATATATATATATATATACACATATATATATTACGTCAATTTTAATCTATATATACACATATATATTTGTATAAATGATTTACTTTATTATTAAGGGAAAGGTTGAATAACTTGAGTTAATTGTTTTAATTGCTAGGATTAGTGAGGAGTTGAGTTTTAAAAGGGACTTGACTCAGTTTTTAATTTCACTTTTTTTTTTCATTTTTCATTTACGTTCTAAAGAGTTAGGAGAACTAAAACTCGTAGGAGAATACCTCAAAGATTCATGTCCTTCTTCAAGCCCTCACCAAGGTAAGGAGGGAGTGAGTAGTCTCATTCTAGACATGGGATGTATGTTGGATAGTAGGATTGACTTTCAATCCCTTATTTGTAATTTGTATTATATGAAGGGGATTTTTCAATTAATTGTATTATGTATTTTTCGTCACATATATGATTCCTTTTTTTTATATTGTGTATTTTTTTATGCTTTCAATTTCAGGATTGATTCTTTAATTGTGAATTTTGAATTGTCTGTGACTTCTTGTAAAAATCCTAAAAGATTGTAATGGTTATTGTGTGAAAAATTAGTATGGGTATGTATTTGGAATGTGAAATTTGCACCTTCTTGATGTTTAATATGCCTTTTTGAACATTTCTACTAATTGAATCATGAGTGGGGTAAGTATTATATGTGGTTCATAATTTGCGTTTTATGCAAAGTGTGAAATTTTAATACAACGTCGAGCATTGTTGAGATCGAGAGCAAAGATTGTTCTTGGGGTCATTCATGTCAAGCGTTGGATGATTCTCACCAAGCACAAAAGCTTTAAGGGCTTCCCCGTGATACTTTCGTTGAGCGTGAACTTATTCACGTCAAGCGTGGTTCAGCCTGAGAGTAATGTTGTTCTCTAAGGTGTGTCACCAGGTGCTGTTCTGTATATTTTGTATTTTCTCAATTGTGTTCATTGAGTTCAAATTATGTGATTTTTGTGCTATTGATTGTTAATACTCGATTGATATAGTTGAGCTTGTTACGTACACGATTGAGAACAACTGATGAATTGTATGATGCGTTGTTGTATAGAGTTATGTTTGACATGAATCATATAGATACTTGTTTTTAATGATTACGATATGAAATATACCACCAAAGAAGACCCTCTTATATAAAAGCTTGGGGATAGTTGGGTTTGGAAAACCCCAAATTCACCCATTGTGTGCATGGTGCAGAACTTGTGCGACACAACCATCCCAACGATATGGTTGTATATCCTTCTAGTGTAGAGTGCAATGAGGGTGTGTTGGGTTATTTTATTGGTATTTGTCTGAGGGGATATTTTTTATAAGATTATTACACAAGCATACTCCATAATGATGAGATATTGTTCTTTTTGGGCCTAAGCCCTCACGGTTTTGCTTTCAGTCATTACCCAAAAGGTCTCTCAATCATTGAAGTATGTTTATGTTATATAAGTTGTTATTTTTTATCTTATTTTATCGATGTGGGACTTGTTTGTATCCCAACAATTCTTCTCTCAAACAAGGGACTTAACCTTTCAACTGAATTCAACCTACGGCTCTGATACCACTATTAGGGTTATTTTACGGTATTTGTCTGAGGGGATATTTTATTAGGGTTATTTTTATAAGGTTATTACACAAGCATACTCCACAATGATGAGATATTATCCGCTTTGGGCCTAAGCCCTCATGGTTTTACTTTTGGTCATCACCCAAAAGATCTCTCAATCATTGAAGTATGTTTATGTTATATAAGTTGTTATTTTTTATCTTATTTTATCGATGTGGGACTTGTTTGTATCACAATAGGGTGTGACCTAACATAAACTCTTAGACTACTCACTATTTATCTTATGGCAATACGTGGCGTGATTTTTGATTGGCACCACATACAAGATCAATTGTAGTCTATGTCTATTGCATAGTTCATGTGAATGACTTTATGTATTAGCTCATAATGGTTATGAGAACTTATGTTGTGTTATCAATTGAACTATATATTGTTATGTTTTAGATAATTGTATCATTGTTCTATTGGCACCCTAAAACTATCCTCGTATTATTGTTTGTATTTGGTTATTTGGGTACATTTTACGTCATGAGCTAGCGTGAGATGTTTCTCACTTCCCTTGTCTTGTTTTGTTCCTATTGTAAGTTGTTGCATGTGATATATACAGTTTGAAATTGAGGATGTTAGTGATGAAGCCTAATCTTCACAGTTGAATTTATGTTATGATAAGATGTGATATCACAATTTAGATAAGATTCGTTTTCTTTTGATAATGTTATATTTGATTCAACAATAATTTTTTTTAACAAGTAGTTATGTTGGTTGGATAATTTGTTACACTTTTTTTATGAAATGAATTGATTTTCTATTATTCTGGACACATGAAAATAATTCAATTAAATCTAATGTACCTATTCAATCAAATAAGTATATTATGTCAAAATTTAGAATTTTTATGGTTAAAATCTTTAATTGATTTCTTATTTATTACTTGTTTATATTATTTAGGTAGGATACCACTACCTTTTTTACTAAAAAATTGTCAAAAATTCAAGAAAAAAATAAAATCTATAAAAAAAAATAGATGTCGTTGTTATTTCATCGTACTTGCTTCAATTAGATTTTAATTATTATTTGTTTATATTAAAATGTGGTACTCTTTATATAAAAAAATTGAAATTATAATGTTAAAATTTTCTGTTCAATTTATTTATTGTGTATTATGGTATGCATGTAGAAGGTTTCACACATGAACATTTAACTTTTAATAAGTTTTTTTTTTTAGATTAATGTCATATATTAGAGATGTTTTTTAGCCATTCCAGAAACAAGTAACAAAACATATATAATTAAACAAATATTTTTACACATAAAATAATCACATATGTATATTGACAATAAAAATATTAAGATTCAGATCATATACACAAATGATATTATGAATTGAATCGGTGAAAGATATGTTTTCATTTTTACACCAAAATCTACCTATTTATATATACACAACAATTATTTTTTATTTATTATTGTGTTATTTGTTTTGTTTTCATTAATTATTAAAGTTTATATGTAAATGTTACTATTTCATAAACATAATAACCACCGATTGAAGGGTCTTTGGTAATTTGAAAAGTATCACAGTCGTTTTTATGAAATAATTAAAAAATTTAGAAAGTCATCAATAATACCAAAAAAAAAATTAAATACAAATTTAATTTTCAAATAAATTTTAGGAAATTTATATTGATTTATTATTTATTATAACTAGTAAGAAAAGAGACACCTCATATCTCTCTAAATTTATTATTTATATGTATTAAAAATTAAAATTTCAAAATAGACAATCATATAAAACAATTTTTAAAATTAAAGATAAAATTGTTCAATCAAAAGTAAAAACTAAAAAAGCAATCACCGGAACATATTACCTTTTATAATAAGTATGTATTAAAATAGTTGTAGAATTTTTTTTTTTTGAAAATAGGCAATCACATAGAGTAATTTTAAATATCAAGGATAAAATTGTCCAATTAAAAGTGAAAATAAAAAAATACGATTATTGAAACGTATTCTCATTATAATATATATAGATTTTGTATATTAAAAGTTGATATTAAATTAAGGATTTAATTTTTATTCATCAAATATATTACTTGTGCAAAAGTAATTTGCCGAATTTATATATATATATAAAGAGTGAAAAGAGGGTTATAATAACATCGATGTAATTTTTACTAAGTATTACACTATTTAATAACTT